GCCTGTAACTAACCTCAATAAATTTACGTGTGAACGTTAAATTTTTTAACGCAACTAATGAAATCAGAAAATACTTTCTGCCGAAGAGGTTATTTATTTAGAATGTTGGACAATATGCTCTAGAAACTTTACAATTTATTCTAGTGAAACTTGTATAGCACAGCAGGTGCTCTACACAGAGCAGCTTGTATAGCACATCAGATTATTTCAATGTGTTATTAAGACTTTAGATAGTTTCTCATATCAATTTGCATCAAAGTTTATTTATGGAGAAAGGACAGCTTCAAAAAACCATTGCAGGAGATGCGTCAAATGGAAGAACACAAAGATCACACAATGGATTTAAACACGAAATTTATGTAATTAAAATTTTTTCTGCATTACTAGCTTCATCGAAGTTAGTGAAGAATTAAGTGCGGCTAGGACTTTATTGTTTTAGAAATAATTTAAAAAAAAACAGTAGAAATATTCAACAATTGTTTTTATTAAATTTCTTTTTTGCTTCTCGTTAAGAGGGCCTAATTTTTTTCTTATTTCTTATTGACGCATTTTCACTACCGAAGTTGAGATCGAAATCTGCATGGAACTCACTGCGGAATAAATATTTGTTGTGAATATTATATTTTTCCTTATGATACGCCCAAACATTTTTATTAAATAGTGACAGCTATAAACTTGTCGCGCAATTCAAGATCCCGATAGTCTCGCCATGTTTTTTTTTCAAATGTAAGGACAAGGCATAAAACCTTGCAGAATGCAGTGGCTCCTGCCAAGGACAAAATTCAATATATATTATGTTATCTTAAGCCTAAATTGGTGACTACAGGTGATAATATTAGGCTAACTGAATAATGATTATCTTAAGCCTAAATTGGTGGCATAAGCTAATAATATTAACTGAATAATGAGAGTTAATGAGAAGATAAATACGAATAATTGTTTGTAACCGAGACAGATCTGGGAGGGGGGGGGGCGATGGAGACCAACTACAAAACTTCTTACTAATCATTTTTTAATAATTTAAATAATAATAATAATTATTATAATAATTATATTAATATGTACAATAATAATTATAATAATATGTCTAATAATAATTATAATATTAAGTATAAGTATAATAATAATTATAACGGTAATAATTTAATGAAATTATTAATAAGCATTCTCTGGTCTTTATAGTTTAGTAAAAAGTTTAATACGTTTTACTTGTCTAACGTAACGATGTATAAAATAAAACGTCTACCGAACTATACAAATATACATTTTTTTCTACACATTCCATGCCGCTGCCGCGGTGATGTGAAGACAAGACTTCCTGTTGCGATCTCACTGGCTTAATTGGGAGTTTATAATAAGATAAGGATTCCTTAATGATAAGGATTTATAATGCGAATTCTGCGAACGAATAGATTCTTAAAACCAAAATTCTGGAAGTTTGAAAAAAATTATCATTTGCATGGATGAATGGTATTTAGTTACGTGAATGAGTAGTATTCGTTATATCATTGTTTTATTAATTATTTATTTAATATTCCACTGCTAAGTATATATGTTAATGTTCATTCATTATATTTTGCTTGCGTTTGATGGTAACCCGAAAATGAATTTTCACTACACTGGGAGAAATGAAAGGGTTATTGTTCAAATAGCGATTGTCTTATGTGGGTTGTCCTGACCCACATAAGGCCGGTGAAAGAGTCGTATCAGTGCTACGCCGGCTCTCTGCTCGATCTGTGGGCAAGAAAGTGTTTCACCATTTGGACAATGTTACTCATTCATATTTTTAAGTGATGGAACATAATTTCTGAAACCATATCAATGGGTCGAAGTATTGAATCATTTCAGATGACATTATGATATTATATAATTTCAGATCAGATTATATCATTTCAAATGGTGCTATATCATATCAGATGATATTATACTATTGCAGATAATATTGTATATTTTCAGATGATATTATAGAATTTAAAATTATATTATATCATATCAGATGATTTTTTATAATTTCAGATGATATTATATAATTTCAAAGTATATTATATAATTTCAGACGATGTTCACTCCCTAATTTCTAACGAGCGCAGCACGCCAGCAGTGCCAGCTGCTGGCGTGCTGCGCTGGACTTCTTTTCACTTTTTTTTCTGGACTTCTTTTTCACTTTTACTTTCTTGCCGCCGCTGCAGACCTCTTCTTCCTAGCGGTCACTCAATAAAATAAGTGGGTCATGGAGCTCTAATGGAAGCTGAGTTCCTCACTCACAGCAGCAGTCACTCAAGAAAATAAGTGTGTCATGGAGCTCTAATGGAAGCTGACTTCCTCACTCACAGCAGCCGTCACTCAAGAAAATAAGTGTGTCATGGAGCTCTAATGGAAGCTGAGTTCCTCACTCACAGCAGCCGTCACTCAAGAAAATAAGTGTGTCACTTATTCCTCTGTGTGAGGAAAGTTATTTACGCTGAATTTACTGAAGATTTTCTCCTATTTACTATTTATACTGAAGAAATNGCAGCATAAATAAAGATTATTCAGCATATCAGACGCAGGATAGTAACAATTAGGAGCATTTGCTTCATGACGAAAAAAACTCTTCGCGCCGCACTTTCTCGGTCGCATCTCTGACCAGGAAGTGACTACAGCTTAGCACAGCGCGACCGGACGAAGCGAAACATGTTATGTGATTTGGTAATGAGAAACATCTTATGTGGTTTTGAAATGCGAAACATGTTATGTGATTTCGCCAAGCGAAATCACATAACATGTTTCTTTTGGGAGCGGAATCAAATTTATTTACCATGTGAGAGCGGAATTAAATTTATAAATAGTCTTGGTAAAGCGAAACATGTTATGTGATTTGGTTAAGCGAAATATCAATGTGAGAGCGGAATTATATTTATAAATAATCACCAGCAGAGCACAGAGGCGCGTTACATTCTCAGTAGTTCCTCCTTAGAAGTGTTGAGGAAATATAAAGTCCTGGACCTATACTTTCAAAAAAAGTTAAGAGATCGTAAGTTCATCAGCCAATCATTGACGGCCTTTCAATCNGAGACCTGCCGTAGCCTGTAGCTCTGCAGGAGACCTGTAGCAGCCTGCAGCTCTGTAGGAGACCTGCGCAGCCTGCTTATCATTGCTATAATTATTACTTCTTGAATTTTTATTTTTTTGAAATTAAATTTTGCATTATTCGTATGCGAAGTTAGTTGGCTAAATAATTCCTATTCGTAAGTTAGTCCTGATGTTCTAGAGGTTCTAATGTACGCAGAATCTATGATAAACGCTTGAGGCGTATATGGATGCCAATTTTCAATTTGCAACAATAAACAAATTGTAATGCCAATTTTTTAATTATGTTTATAGACAATTTTGTACCGTTTGCGCTGCATGGTTCATCAATTCATATCAGTTTCTCAGACAGGAATGCATTAAGCTATTAGTTTGTGCTATTATTATATAGTGCCTGTTATGCTAACCAGGAAATTTAATTGTTAATATTAATAAATACTTTTTACACGTGGCCACTTGTTGCGGCCACAGCCACTACTAACCGCCACTATTTACCATACTATAACAGGCCTGTTGTACTGGTGCTACTTACTGGGTATGGGCCCAATAACCATTTACACGAGGCCTGTAACACGATTGTTTATAGCGGGTGATATTTGACATATGCAGTGGCCGCCACTACTGGCCTCTTGTACTTTTGCAGTGGCCGCCACTACTGACCTTCTGTACTTTTGCAGTCTCTCAATTTCAAATTTATACCTATTCATTTTTGCAGAAGAAATTTTTGGCAAAATAAATCTGAACTCATTACATACTTACTAGTTGATTAAGAAAACAAATGAAAAAACATTGCTACTGAAATGAGATAAAAAAGTAGCGCTTATTCCAAATTCGTCATTTCATAAGGACTAAAATCTCTTAATCTCTTAAACTTTTGTGCCTTGAAATATGCATTTTCTATGGAGACACATTCCCTATATATAATTTTTATTGACATTGGTACTTGGATTGAATTTTCTTATCATGTCTTTCTTCAATGCCGCTCAATTTAAATGCATTGGCATGGAATTGGCTTTTAAATGCATTGGCATGGAATTGGCTTTTAAATGCATTGGCATGGAATTGGCTTTTAAATGCATTGGCATGGAATTGGTGCCATCCGATGAGGTTGGCCGCAGCATTCCACCATCACTTTCTCCTGCCCCCTGGCAGCAGCTGAGCGCAGGCGCCACGTCTCACTTACTTTATTAGCCTCCACTGGTCTTGTCACTCAGGGCCCATACTTTCAAAAAAAATTAAGAGATCGTAAGTTCATCAGCCAATCATTGACGGCCTTTCAAGCAAAATCCACCAATCATAGACAAGAAAATAGAGCGTAAGTACTTACGTTCACTTAGCGAGTTTTGAAAGTATGGCCCGTGAACAATACATGGGTTATATTTTGCCAATGGTGACGCACTTTCTTATAAATAACACGAGTAGAGTGCAGACGTAGCACTGACACGATTTTCCTTCCAGGTCAACCTAATGATAATTCAGATTGAGAAATTCTTACATTAAATTCTGGATAATGTGAAATGAAATCCAGTGGTGACGCAGTTTCTTATAAATAACATGAGTAGAGTGCAAACGTAGCACTGACACGATTTTCCTTCCAGGGCCTAGCTGGACCAGGTTGACCCATGCAAGTGTAAAAAGAGCATCATTATTCCAACAAAGTCCCATTTATTTCTCTAAGTATAAGATCATCCGAATCATATTATTGTCATTGCAGTTTTATGAGATCGTTCGACTCACTCATATACCCCGGGACTACAAAATATACCACTAACACATGCTGTTTATGCGAACATAGATTAATCTTCATCACAATGTACCCATCTTACGCAATATTCTACTGAAGGAATAAACATGTAAATCAAAAAATATTAATACATCATTCACAGAGGAAAATGTATACATAATTAACTAAACTGCTTTTTTTATTTTACAGTTGCCATGTTTAATCATACATTAGGAGGTCTCGTCAAGTCGGGCACATGGAGCTGTCAAGGTGTACAAGTAGCGGCTTCTACCTAAATCCTGAACACCTCATAACAAACTCCTATATCCGATGTTTCTTAAATCAAACATTGATCTCCTATCCTGATTACTCTTTAATATTTGTTATTAAATGTTAGTTTAATTTTTATTTAAATTAGATATCGTTGTGTATCACTTGATGGTACGATTGCTCAGTAATTTAGATCATGGAACGTGGGTATTCTTCTGGAGACATCGTTCAGAAGCTCGCACCCACAGCTCTCCTCCTGCTGGTGTTATTGGGGGCAACCTCGGTCCCTACGTGTGAGTGTGATATATTATATTATATTATATTATATTATATTATAATTATATGATATTATATATTATATTATATTAAATTATAATATATTATATTACATTATTGCTGAACTTCTTGGTGGCAAACTTGCTAAGGGTGAAAGCTTCGACATTAAATTTTAAATTCGAGATAAAACAGTAATTTATATAGGCATAATATCTTGCACTTACGCCATAAGAAGTAACTTTCCTTCGTACATGTTTAAAATAATTAATAATGATCATAATCAGAGAAGTGCTGTATACACATGAAATTTATCAGTCGAGGGTAAATTAAAACGTTCATGATTCATGTATCAAGATGCTATTTTACATGAATATTAGGTTCCTATTCATTAAACATGAATGATAAATGTAATCGCTCGCTATATTTTTATTAATTATAACATTAATCCCCCTCAGGTTCGCAGCTCACTCCACACGAAGACGATCTGCTCTACGCTCAGATCTACCAGCCAATAGTACCCCTCGCCCAGTCCTTCTACAACGAGACGCATGAAATTCCCGGCCATATTCGAACGGTAAATCTGAACGTAATATTAGTAAATTACCGGTGATATTAGAACGGTAAATCTGAACGCCATATAATAAATTACAGGCCATATTTGAACGGTAAATTTGAACGCCACATTAGTAAATTCCAGGCCATATTCGAGCGGTAAATAGGAAAGCCCCATTAGTGAATTCCCGGGAATATTCGAACGGTAAATTTGAACGCCCCATTAGTGAGTTGCAGGCAATATTCGAGCGGTAAATTTGAACGCCATATTAGTAAATTCCCGGCCACATTCGAACGGTAAATATGAACGCCACATCAGTAAGTTATAGACAAGATCAGAAGAACGGGCATGCCCAACCTAAAATTGAGATCTAGGTTGGAAAATGTTCTGATTTAACTTTATGCACATTATATATCAAACTAGAATAAAACGCCGCATATGCACTCGTTGCATGTACCGAAATGTTAGCAAATGAGTCGCTTCTTTTGAACAATCCCAACACCAATCAATATATTATATATTTCATTGAAACTTTTCGCACATGACCGGCCTATTCATGTCGTACAGATGATCGCCTTCATCAGAACGGAGCCTACATACAACACCGCGCGAACATTCTCCGGGCTGCTGCCCGAGTGTTCGGCCTGCATCGGGCTGGCCAAGTTCGCGCTCGCTTTTGCCAGGAGTAATGCGCCCGTTGGCCCCCTCATCAGCGTTCTCGAGAAGATCTGCTATCTCTTCTTCTACCGCAACAAGATCGTCTGCTCCGGCATCATCAACAGGGAGAAGGTAAGGTTCATTAGCTCGAGAAGATCTGCTACCTCTTCTTCTACCGCAACAAGATCGTCTGCTCCGGTATCATCAACAGGGAGAACGTAAGGTTCATTAGCTCGAGAAGATCTGCTACCTCTTCTTCTACCGCAACAAGAACATCTGCTCCGGCATCATCAACAGGGAGAAGGTAAGGTTCATTAGCTCGAGAAGATCTGCTACCTCTTCTTCTACCGCAACATGAACGTCTGCTCTGACATCATCAACAGGGAGAAGGTAAGGTTCAAGAGCTCGAGAAGATCTGCTACCTCTTCTTCTACCGCAACAAGATCGTCTGCTCCGGTATCATCAACAGGGAGAAGGTATCAGAAAAATATAGGTAATATTAAAAAAAATTACGAGATTGTACTGATGTCCAAAATAAATATTGTTTGCGCAACAAACGATCACCCTTATGACAATGGGCCTTGCTATTTCAGAATGGAAAATTTATTTAAACAAATAGAAAAATCCATATGAAATAGTCCCTATATAAAATGACTGAGACTAGCCCCGGTCCAGGGCGTGGTGCTGTACGTATTCCGCCACAGTCGCACGACGCCACAGCAGATCTGTGCGCTTCTCCTGTCCATCGCAGTGGGGCCCAAGAGCTGTGGTATCTTCAGGGGGCCCCGCTGGACCGTCCAGCTGCCTGTACCTGCTGATAACCTCTACGCGTACGAAGCTAATAATCTTGTAAATGGATACTATGATAGGGTGAGTTATGATAGGGTGAGTTATGATAGGGTGAGTTATATGATAGGGTGTGTTCAGATAGGGTGAGTTCAGATAGGGTGAGTTATGATAGGGTGAGTTCAGATAGAGTGAGGGTTTGTGGTTCGCCTTTTAGTTCTGTATCAAAGTTGGCTCGGACTCGATTAAAATCCCATTTAGTAGACGAACTTTTCGATAGGTCTAAGATTTAAATTCCCCCATGACAGGCGTTAAATTTTTTTTGTCTTACGGACGCAAAGAGTTTACATTAATATTTCCGTATTAGTTCGACAGCGTGACAGCCGGCTCATCAACAGAAGTGTTCCACAGCGCAAACGAAACATTCGCGCCCATTCAACGGACAGGTCGCGCTGTAGCAGCGGACCGCAGCAGCAAGCAACGCTTGAGTGTTACGTACATCGGGACACCGAAAATCAAAATCCCGGATCGGGACAGACTCTTCAACGACGGTCGGCCGTACCTGAAAGTGCTGCATCTCACCGACATCCATTACGACCCCAAGTACAGGCGCGGTGCTAACGCCCACTGCCAGGCCCCGGTGTGCTGCCGGGACGATAGTGGTATGTCAATTTGTACCTTAATTATAAATTATTGTAATTATAGTACTAATATTAGTTTTACGGAGAAAAATTGATTATTATCAAATTAATAACAAAATATTTAGAATACTAATGACATAAATAATCCGGTGTGCTGCCGGGATGATAGTGGTATGTTAATTTGTACCTTAATATTAAATTATTGTAATTATAATACTAATATTAGTTTTACAGAGCAAATTGATTAATATTAAATTAATTATAAAATATTTAGAATACTAATGACATAAATAATCCTGTGTGCTGTCGGGACGATAGTGGTATGTCAATTTGTACCTTAATTATAAATTATTGTAATTATTATAGTACTAATATTAGTTTTACAGAGGCAAATTGATTAGTATCAAATTAATAACAAAATATTTAGAATACTAATGACATGAATAATAATTGTAGTCCTAATTATCATACTGAAATTATCTAGTATTATATGTATGGACGGGTCATACAGATAAATAGTTGATAGCTAAGGGTCTAAAGTAGGCAAAATTTTAAATTTTTATTGTAATGATACGGGGTTGTCAATGTTAAGTCTCTAAACTAAATATGTTATTGTTTGAAAAGTCCAAGCCATAGCTGACAGACTACATTGCCTACAAAAGGAAGATGTTTAATTTGATGGGTGCTGTTTTATGAACTTTAGACGAAAGTTATTCAAAAGTTTTGTTTAATTTGGTATTTCATTTGCTGCTCAATGCTTAACTTGAAGATAGTGAAGTGGTTCAACATGACCAGACGTTTTTTATCCACACTGATTTTCAAACAAACTATCGTTGGCTTTGATCGTTATATTTTTTAATTCCATGTTGAAGAATCGGTCTATAAAATCCATTCGTTTCTGTAACACGTAAGCTGCTAAAATACGCAACTTCAATGAATGTCAGCCAATTAAAAGTCCTCACTTTTCTGTATCTAAGACCTAAATAGTTTTTTTAATTTTCACCAGATTATTTTATTGGTCAATTCAAAGTCTGCGCTTTCAAACACTTTCAATTTCTGCAATTTAAATAATATTCTAGTTCTAACTAAGGTATTACCTTCACTGCCCAGGACGAGCTGAAATTTAAATAATATCCTAGTTCTAAGCAAGGTATTGCTTCAATTCAAAGTCTGCGCTTTCAATACTTTCAATTTCTGTAATTTAAGTAATATATTAATTCTAACCAAGGTATTGCTTCACTGCCCAGGACGAGCACAAAATTACTGGGATGGTGCAGGGAAATACGGAGACTACCGCGCGTGTGATACACCGCGCGTGTTGGTGGACAATATGCTGCGCCACATCAGCGAGCACCACCCGGTACGATGAGTACTATAATAATATAATAATAATAATAATAGCGGTTTCAGCGTTTAGTAGGCCGTAGGCCTGTCGCTGTTCTTAACATCGCAGAACATTCACAGCTTTTGCGGTTTCGAACTCGCAACTCACTGCTACAATTCCGCTGTGCTTAACCGCCCGGCCTCCACGCCGATTCTGACCAGAAACTGGCGCACAGAGCTGGGATCGAACCCGCGCCTCTCTGCTCCAATCTTGGTACTCTGAACTATAACCACTGGGCCACCAAGTACTAAGAGTACTAAGTAGAGTACTTATATAGTACCTTGAAGTATCAGTAATTGGTAGTACATCAGTGAGCACCACCCGGTACGATGAGTACTTAGTATCTTAGAGTATCAGTAATTGGTAGAACATCAGCGAGCACCACCCGGTACGATGAGTACTTAGTACCTTAAAGTATCAGTAATTGGTAGTACACCAGCGTGGACCACACGGTACGATGAGTACTTAGTGCCTTAAAGTATCAGTAATTGGTAGTACATCAGGGAGCACCACCCGGTACGATGAGTACTTAGTACCTTAAAGTATCAGTAATTGGTAGTACATCAGCGAGCACCACCCGGTACGATGAGTACTTAGTACCTTAAATTATCAGTAATTCGTAGTACACCAGCATGGACCACCCGGTTTGATGAGTACTGCCTAATAGGATCATTACCTATAATAGGGAGCTAATTACTGTCATTGAAAATGTTAATGGACTCAGACAGCATAAAATAATCTGTATTTTCCAGTGTTTTAAGGTACAGGGCAGTGATCCTGACTATGTATGTTGCAGGATATAGACTACGTTATGTGGACCGGGGATAGCGTCGCGCACGATCTCTGGAAAATCAACCGTCGCGACAACAGCGTCAACATCAACAGAGTGGGGGATATGATACGATATTACTTCCCCACCATCCCCATCTTCGGGGCTGTGGGAAACCACGAGATTTCCCCCAGAGACAGGTACGAAATTTTAGACTAAACTTCAATCTTCCTTGTTATACGTTTTGATTCATATCCATCGCAACTCCTTGCATTATTATCAAGGAGGGACAAACTTCTCATGCTGAATTAAAACCAATTAAGGGATGTCTAAAATATATTTTGTTTCGCTGTATGTTATGAAGGCGAGAAGCTTTCGAGTAGGAAGTGTCTGCCGCACCTGAGTTAGAAAATGTCATGCGTCATGATATGGTATCCTGCCACAAGAAGCTTCAAAAATTAGGGGCCATGCCAACAACCAGAGTCATGAAATGTCTCAAAACCTCGTTTTTCTGCCCTTACCCTCTACCAGAGGCAGGAAATGTCCCAAAATCCAGTTTTTAACTCAGTTCCCCGTCCATTTAAACCGCATTCCCGAAAATCAGGCACTACTGTAAGCACCTGTATCGGTACATGCATGTCTTGTAGTTTTTTTTATTTTGTACAGTCTTCAAATAATTTTTCCCCTCAGCTTCCCGCCACCAGAAGTCCCTAAAATAAGACGTCACTTCAACAACCAGTGGCTGTACAGTCTGCTGGCAGAGCAGTGGCAGAGTTGGCTGCCAGGACGCAAGATCTCACCGCAGGCTTGGGTCACAGGTTCCTACTCTGCGTTGGTCAGGGAAGGATTCAGGATAATTTCCATCAACACAAACTTCTGCTACAAGCTCAATCTGTGAGACATTATACGGCACTCTTGAAGCTAGGATGGAAAATTAGAATTTGTAGGAAAGAATGCAAATTTAAATGAAATTATTCATCTATATATTGTTCCTCCAATTAATGAAAAGTTACCGTTTTTTAGATTAATCAAACTCCTTGTTTAGCATAATTTATTTGAGTTGCACCTTCACAGATTTTGGCAATTCATGCTAAATTATCTGAAGAGCTGATCACTCAAAGGAAAATATCATTGCTCATTTTGAAACTCAAATAGTTAGTCTTTCTCTGCATCATCAAAGCACGAAGCCGTTGTTAAATCAGGTTAATCATTGAAATTATTTTATTTACGTACTTAAATGCTTATAAACAACAGTAGAAAGGAAATTATTATTGCTATTCATCTAAAAGATTATCGTGTCGGTACAGTTGATCACTATAACTAATTACTTGTCGTCATTTGAGGTGGGTCCTTTCATTCATTTCAGATGGGTCCTTTCATTCATTTCAGATGGGTCCTTTCATTCATTTCAGATGGGTCCTTTCATTCATTTCAGGTGGGTCCTTTCATTCATTTCAGGTGGGTCCTCCTCAAAAGCGTCGACCCTGGCAACATCCTAAGTTGGCTCGTAGCAGAGCTGCTGAAGGCGGAAGCAAATGGGGAATACGTGCACATCATAGGCCACATGGGCCCTCTGTATGGGGACTGCTATGAGGAGTGGGGCCATCAGTTCTCCAGGATAGTCACCAGGTAACTGGTTACCAGTGGCAATCAACTTTACGTGGTCATTGGTATGTATGGTATTCGGATGATAACAATTTATGGGCAGGAAGATAAAAATTCATAATGAATTAGGTCGATTAGACAAGCTCATTTTTACAAAAGTTTTCTGTGCTCGATAACTTTGTGATTGGTCGCGATGGCAACGCTGACCAAAAATTCCAGTAAAACACCTACTATAGGTAAATTAAAAAGCAAAATCTTCTAAAAAATTGTTTGCAGAAATATTCTATCTTACGGATTATAGAAAAGCAACATCCTAACTTATTTTACTTTATACAGGTTTTCGAGGATAATTCGAGGTCAGTTTTACGGACACTGCCACCGTGACACGGTACTGCTGCACTTCGACGTGCGGGCGCCCGACGTGCCAATAGGCGTCGAGTACCTCACTCCCAGTAACGGGCCCTTCTACCAACTGAACCCGTCCTTCACCATCTACTATGTAGACGGTGACTACAGCACTAGGGTGAGACTACTAGTGGGGGTGTGGGGTGGATGTAGAGTACTATAGTGGGGCGTGGGGTGAATGTTGGAAAAGACCATGTTTTTCAGGTTAGTTATTTTGGCAATCAGGTATTTTAAATTAGAGAAAAATGCGTGACCCATAATCCTGTGAAGTGGATGTTTAAGAAAGTGCTGAGCGTTTTTATTAGTATTTTATTTTCTTTGTAATAAGAGGAGAATGTTTTACCCTAAGTTTTATGAAGTGAATATGGGAGAAAGTTTTACCGGACTATTATTTTTACCGATAATATTTCTTCAATATGAGAGAGGTGCTGTCCAATGTTGTGACCAGGAAACTTCTATTTTAATTGAGATGCACAAAATAATTATACATATTATTAAAGAGGAAAACTCCTTCAAATGCGGAAAAGTCCTTCAATATCTCGGGGGTTTATTTCTAATATTCAAATCTATCGCGTTTCAATATTCAATCCCAGCACTATTTTCACCAGGCTGGATTGAAAGATATGTTTTTATTCCTGAAATACCTTATTTGAATTTTATTTTCAGACCGCCTTTTTTCATTTATTGTAAATTATAGGAATAAACTACTTCAATTGTTATATAAACCAATATTTATAATCATAACGAATCGAAGAACCTACTGACACGATTATTCAAACCTACATTAAAATTCACACCTATTATAAGAAACTACCGAAACAATTACTTAAACCTTATTCCCAATTATTGCTATTAGAAGAAGCTACTGAAACAATTATTTAAACTTTATTCACAATTATAACTATTAGAAGAAGCTACTGAAACAATTATTTAAACTTTATTCACAATTATAACTATTAGAAGAAGCTACTGAAACAATTACTTAAACCTTTTTTTACAATTATGACTATTATAAGCTACTGAAACAATTACTAAAACCTTTCTTTACAATTATGACTATTAGAAAAAGCTACTGAAACAATTACTTAGACTTTATTCACAATTATAACAATTAGAAGCTACTGAATATATTCCATTGCCATCACCAGTCGGTGCTGAACTACGAGACATACTTCATGAACCTGACGGTGACTTGAACTTTATTAACAATTATAACTATAAGAAGAAGCTACTGATACAATTACTTAAACTTTATTTACAATCATAACTATTAGAAGCTACTGAATTTGTTCCATCACCAGTCGGTGCTGGACTACGAGACGTACTTCATGAACCTGACGGTGACTTAAACTTTATTAACAATTATAACTATAAGAAGCTACTGAAACAATTACTAAAACCTTTCTTTACAATTATAACTATTAGAAGCTACTGAACACTGAAGAAGCTACTGAAACAATTGCTTAAACCTTTATTTACAATTATAACTATTATAAGCTACTAAATTTATTCCATCACCAGTCTGTGCTGGACTACGAGACCTACTTCATGAACCTGACGGAGGCCAACGTCTACGACGAGCCTCGGTGGCAGCTACTGTACCGGGCCAAACGCGACCTTAAAATGGCAGCGCTCGAGGCCAAGGACTGGGACAACCTGGCCCATAGGATAGCCAGGGATACCAACTTTGGTGCTGAATTTTACAAGTGAGTGGGAAAACACATAGGATAGCCAGGGATACCAACTTTGGTGCTGAATTTTACAAGTGAGTGGGATAACCTGGCCCATAGGATTGCCAGGGATACCAACACGTTTACTTAAATAAATTTGTTTGCGCCTTACCTTGTACTGTCTGGCTCTTCAGATTAAATGTAAGGTAAGATAAGTATACGTTGAATTTGTAAGTCGTGTGGACAAGCGCGGCACAGCAACCTCAAGTAATTTTGCTTCTGTTTTAATTAGAGGCTTCAGATATCCCAATTCATGGAGTATATGTATGTATGGGGTAAAAGCTAATATCTATCGTGCACATGTGTTGTCACTGGTCCTATTAACTGTTAACTGTTAGCTGTTAATTATTGTTAATTGTTAACTGTTAACTGTTTATTTTAGCTGTTGTGTTCAGTTTGGCTGATGTATAGAAAGTAAATTTTCCTATATTCTAATGTATAGCTGCAGTAGCACGAAATGTTTTGCCCAAGCAGCACATTGCGATTTTTTTACCATTTTACGCACTTTCACGCATTTTAAACGTCTACACGATTTCTGGGTGCACGAATTATCGCTGTCTTGCTCACGTGTCATGTGTGATATGAATTGAAATCTTTAAAAGACTGATATCTGAGCCAATATATCAGGCCTTTTCTCTCAGTGACGATCAATGTGTTTTTTTTTTCGAACGACTCAAGGCATTGCACATGTCTTTATTGCCTCAAAGTACAGTATACAGTTACAAGCCTCAAAGTAGCATTAATAAGATCACAATAAAGAATATACATGTTAGTTTAATACATTTAAGCACTTACAAGAAGCATTAATAATATATTACAATATAATATAATATATGTCTCTTATACACATCTAGATGTGTATAAGAGACAGGTATAATATAATATAATATAATATAATATAATATAATATAATATAATATTACATAATATAATATAATATAATATAATATAATACAACACAAAATAACATTTTATAACATAATAAGCACCATATTTTGCAGATACCACGTGAAGGCGAGCGACCCTCTGCTCAAGGAAGGCTGTGGCTATCGCTGTCAGCAGGAGATTAAATTATAAATAATAATAATTAATTATTATTATTAAATAATATAAATAAATTTATATTTATTATTATCCCAATTTTGCAGATACCACGTGAAGGCGAGCGACCCTCTGCTCAAGGAAGGCTGTGGCTATCGCTGTCAGCAGGAGATCGTTTGTTCTATTGTTGAAGGCGACAAATTTCTACCGAAAAAATGTAGGCCTAGAGGCTGACCCTCTAGGCCTATAGGAGTACCTAAACAAATTGTAGCTTATTATTTGATGAGAAATGGGCGAGGCAGTCATTGTGTGTGCACATAATATATATCGCCCACTTATGTTGTTGCAAGACTCTTCTGAAGCCTGAATTTTGCAATTTTGTAAGACATTATTTGTACATTTTTGTCCATTGTTTTTTTATTTCTAATAATACGGATTTAGGAGATTTATATTCCTGTATATTTGCTGTCAAATGCGCAGCGTGACAGTGAGAGATGATTTCAAATGTGACTTTATTTAAATTATAAATTATAAATTCAATTATGATTCCACACATTCTCTGGATATTTAAAAATGTTTTAAATAAGATTTGCAAATAACAAAGTTAAATGACATGTTGACGATGTCATTGGAAAACTTGAAGATTTCTACGCAAAGTTTTGAAATATTTTAACCGAAGACAACCTGAACTTTAGTTACTCTTTTGCATCAGAAAATATTCATTGTAAAATGAATAACTTGGCTGGTTTTTTAGATGAACTTTAAGAGGAAAATGTCAGCATTCGAAACGAATTATCCCAGAAAATAATAAGAATTAACCCAGATAATAATAATTAGGAATCGTATGTGGTTATCAGGTGAAGATTCAGCTTATTGTAATTATTATTATTGTATATTGAATTGTTATTAAAAGCTGAATAATTATTTGTAACTATTACGCTTATTCGTGAGCAATATGAAGTTCTACTTAATAATATCTACAGAATTTTCTGTATTAATTTAACCTGCAAAAAAATATTGTCCAAAGAATGACACACTTTCTTACCCAGAGCACGAGCGGAGAGCGGACGTATCACTGATATACGCGCTTTTTCCGGGCTAAACTGTGTTAGAATGACCCACATAAAAGGTCTATAAGTGCATTGTTATTAGAACAATAAGCCTCTCATTTCTCCGAGTGTTGTAAAAATTCTATCACGGTTTGCTTCATCCCACAAGCAATTAAATAATGACATAAAAACTCTCACGGATGTCATGTAATGACGCTCAGATATCATTTATTTTTGTTATTATGTTTCTGTTGACATCAAATGTTTTGTATATTTTGTTACTATCAAAATGAATTGTTTTCAGAATTATTTTTCTTGACTTGAATTCAAGTTTTTACTTTTTTGTAACGAAACTTATCTTCTGCTGTAATTACGAATAGTTTGTTTACCCTATTACCAGTGATTTATGCATTAAAATTTTATTTGATCAATATTATAGGGAAATTTATGCAATTTTTCCCTTCATAAAATGTTCCATTCCCACAATAATCATTTGAATAACCATTTTTTAGGTTAAAAATGGTTAGATTTTACCCTGAGTGAAAAGGTTCACCCTAAAATGCTTCTGTTTACCAGTAAGTATTATACAAGAAGGTCTTAAACATGTTGTTCAAACTGTGTTATTGTATTATACTGTCTTATTGTTCAATTCTGTGTTCAATAATTGTTGTCTCGTACATAAACAATAATAAAAATCTGAAAAAATTGTAAAATTTTTGTTATTTTCGTTTTAAATACGATTTAATTACAGGCAATTATAAATACAATGCATGTTTGTTTCATCACTGTTAACGCTTCGAGCTGCCTAGACTCTCATCTAAGATATTGACTCATTTAAGATAATGACTCATATAAGATAATGACTCATTTAAGATAATGACTCATTTAAGATATTGACTCATCTAAGATATTGACTCATTTAAGATAATGACTCATTTAAGATAATGACTCATCTAAGATATTGACTCATTTAAGATAATGACTCATCTAAGATATTGACTCATCTAAGATATTGACTCATCTAAGATATTGACTCATTTAAGATATTGACTCATCTAAGATATTGACTCATTTAAGATAATGACTCATTTAAGATAATGACTCATCTAAGATATTGACTCATCTAAGATATTGACTCATCTAAGATATTGACTCATCTAAGATATTGACTCATCTAAGATATTGAATCATCTAAGATATTGTCTCATCTACGATATTGTCTCCACTAAGATAGTAATTCATCTAAGATATTGACTCATTCAAGATAATGACTCATCAACGATATTGTCTCCACTAAGATATTGACTCATCTAAGATATTGACTCATTTAAGATAATGACTCATCTACGATATTGTCTCCACTAAGATAGAAATTCATCTTGAATATTGACTAATTTTAGCTATTGACTCATCTAAGATATTGAACCATCTCTGATACTGACCCACATAAGATTCCCATTTGAGATAGTGACTCATCTAAGATATTGACTTATCTAAGATATTGATTTAGCTAAGACAATTTCTTATCTAAGATATTGACCCATCTAAGATAGTGACTCATCTAAGATATTGACTCATCTCTGATACTGACACACATAAGATTCAATCTAAGATACTGATTTATCTAAGATATTGATTTAGCTGAGACATTTTCTTCTCTAAGATATTGACCCATCTAAGATATTGACTCATCTCTGATACTGAAACACATAAGATTCAATCTAAGATACTGATTTATCTAAGATATTGTTTTAGCCAAGACAATTTCTTATCTAAGATATAGACTCATCTAAGATATTGATTCACCTGGATATTTGGCCGCAATATCTTACCTAAATAACGAGAGCAATTTTATCTTTCCACTTCGCAGCTTCCAAGTGATGGCGAATCCGGTTTAAACCATGAAATTATTAAATATTAAATTATTCCCAGGGTCTGTCTGTGAAATTGATTTGAAAAATTCAAAATTTAAATTTTCTAAAAGTTTTTGGATCCCGTGATCAGTTAAATTTATTTAAAAATGGAAAATCTGATTTAAACCCTCAAAATTGGTATAGAATTTTTTTTCAGGCTTTGTTTTACAACAAATATATTTAAAATTACTTACCCAGTTAAATACGTTTTTCGAAAACATCGTAAAACAATGTAATATACCAGGCTAAAGGGTGTGAATGACAAAATGTTACAATATGTATCACGTATAAAAGACCACATTTTATAGTCCGTGATTCTAAGGAGAAATAGAAATTGACTTCATTATAATTCAAAATACTTCAGATTTAAAAAAAATCCACTGCTGAAAAATTTCACCTTAGGCTTCTGAGAAATAATTATTTCTATTGATTATTTTCAGATATACGTAAATTTTCAATTCAGCTCTATTTCAATTTAACAAAGTTTTTTCAAAAAAATGTAATATATGTTCGTATTTTAATCTATTTTAATAATATACTTCCAGGAAATATATTCATTTAAAAAGAGAAAAATTTAAGGTAAGTTCGAATAACAGCCACAATTGGAGTTGAAACGGTCGCGATTATTTTAACACGTTTTTCTTAGCTTAGCTTCGCGTTTGTTTGTTTGTTTGTTTGTTTGTTTGTTTGTTTGTTTGTTTGTTATTAACACGTTTTTCTTAGCTTAGCTTCGCGTTTGTTTGTTTGTTTGTTTGTTTGTTTGTTTGTTTGTTTGTTTGTTGTTAACATTGACAACAAAAATTAGCCCACTTCTGATTGTTCTAGAGATCTGAAATTCGGCATGCAGACTATTTTCGCCTAACAATTTCAGATACAATCATAAAAATTAGTAATTAGAGACAGAAATTAGTTTAATTGAGTAAAGTATATATATAGTATATATATAGTATGACGTGCCGGCGCTGACGTTATAGACGAGCAGGCGCTGACGCTGCGTATCATCGATACGTACGTCAAGTTATACTTAATCAAGTCTTAATCGTTTTTCTTGTGGACTAAAAAGTAGAAAATAAAATACTTAAAAAAACTTTTTAAAAAAACACGTTTTTCTTGTGGACTAAAAAGTAGAAAATAAACGGGCTGTACGTTCACCGTCAAATTTCCAAAATTTAAGTGTTGTATGCTTTTCGCTTTAATCATAAATCTGCCCGACACACGTTTTTTTGGGGCGAACCATAATTTATTTTCTACTTTTTAGTCCACAAGAAAAACGTGTTTTTTTAAAAAGTTTTTTTAAGTATTTTATTTTCTACTTTTTAGTCCACAAGAAAAACGTGTTTTTTTAAAAAGTTTTTTTAAGTATTTTATTTTACATTATAAACGTACCCTACGAGACGAGAAATAAGAACAATCGACGATAAATAAGTTATAATAATACTTCTATTTAGTTCACTTACAAGTTTGACTTAACTCAATAATGCTTGAACCTAACGTTCAACAGTTCGCATTACATAAGAATTACGTTCGTAGAATGAATACGTGGTCTGGGATAAGTTTTTTGTAAAGAAATGTCAACTAAAAATTTCACCCAAAATGAGATAAACGAAAATGAGAAGATGAAACGGATCAAAAATCTCAAGATCAGAGCAGAGAAACTGCTGTTTGTTGTGGCTTGGGTCGTCTGGTTTGTTTAAATGACAACCACACTAACTTTCCTGCTTTCAATTAAAAGTAATTATTGTAAATTGTAATTGGAAAATTAAATGAAATTGATTTTTCAGATAATTGAGACAGGATCTCAAACTTCAGGCGACAATAATTTCGTGCTGCTATCGGACGTGTACAAGATTATCGAAGTCTTCTAATAAACCAAACAAGATACATATTAATGGGCAAACTTTCAATTATTGAACATTGTGGAAATTAAGTTGACGGATTTGAGAACCGAAGTAACTGTCTTCCATTGGAACGTCTAGAACGAAAGTTCTTCATGTCTACGGGAAGTTTTCAGGTCAACGAATGGATCGTTATGGAGGATAGAAGTTACAGCATTCTTCTATTCCCTATAAATGGATACATTAGGCCGGTATCAAGCAGTTTATCAGCATGGTCCTCTACATTATTGGGCTATTGAAGCCTACACGGAGTACCTGTCTCCGGCATTTATCACGCGATTTGAAGATAATGAAGATAATTCAAGTGATAAAGATAATCCAAGTGATAAAGATAATTCAAGTGATAAAGATAATTCAAGTGATAAAGATAATTCAAGTGATAAAGATAATTCAAGTGATAAAGATAATTCAAGTGATATGATAAACAACTGTACAGGAGGAGCAGTGCCTAGGATACGGAGAATGAAGGTGGCACAGAATAAATCATAAATTATTAGTTATTCTTGGACATTAGCAAGCTTGCATGTAGTGGCACTATTAATCATAATTGTCCAGTTAATATTGAACATTAGGAACATCAACAAGTTGTTCATGGTGCAGTGGATCCTACACGTCGTAGTGGAAGGCACAATGGCCATCGTCGCGGGTATTTCACTGATGGAATTGCTGGTCGCTAATTAGAAACAAATCGAGCAAGTGTCCGGATGTTCGGTCAGCAGTTTCCTCTCAGTATCCGACGCCGTGAAGTACATGGACTTGATAGTCGTTTACAAGTTTTACGTACCGAGTCTCATGTTTATTTTGTTATTGAAGCCTCTGGTGATGTAGAAAACAGAACAATTTCTCGCAGTAATTCGAATTCCACTGATTACATTATCCCGCTTACTGCTGTGGTGCCTGATCATCAGTCCCGGGATTTATATCGTTTGGTTACTTCTAGTATTCGAGGCTGACTTAAATACCGTCGCAACGACCCCGTTTGCCAGCAGCATGCGTTTGTTGCAGGACATTATTCTGGCCCAGCAACACTTCTTATCATTGGACCCGGGACCACTTTTCATGTCCATGCTGGTGATCGTGACGTTTGTGACTGGTATGCTGTTCAACTACCAGAGAACTGTGGTTGTGGCCCTGATATTCTGCCTGCTGAGAGCAATGGTAGGGACTTGGTTTCTGGATTCTGTTATGTCGTTGGTACCGAAGACGCTCTACAGCGTAGTTTCGTGCGCTCTTTGTGCGAGCTTCGTGATTTGCATCATTGGTTAACGACGGAGTGCAACAGCCACGGAAATTATCGCCAATATAAGAAGATATCCATGATAAAAAAATTTGGTGAGAGTAGAAATGTGTGGATAGAAAAATAAATTACGACTAGA